AATCAACCTTACTTTACATATATTGCATTGTAGATTGCGTTTGGATGTTAATATTAACTTTGAATACGAATAAATTTTCAAACTTATTTTCTGTTTGTAATTTCGTTTGTGTAACGAAATAGCAAAAATAATACATATTATACTATTAGATGAAATACGACAATATAAAATTTTTCGCTTCTACTATGTCATCATTCATAAATAAGAAACATTTTTTTCATGGAATTGAAGAATAGAGACAAAATATATTTTAGAATTTCAATATTACGGAAGTGTCATAAAGTCTGAGAATACACTAATTTTATTAATATTTTCATTATTTTATTTAAGATAATAAACTAGCAATTTGATGAAAATATTACACATTACCAGAATCCTTGTAAACATATTTATCAAACATATTCAGCAGATATAATAGTTAAGATAGTTTTTGATAGTATAATTAATCGAAATTTATATATTTATAAATATGATATTTTTGCATGTAAGTTTTGAAAAAGTGTATAAGTATTATACTATTAATATATAAATATCATATATGCAATATCCAAGTCTTACCAAACATACGTTTATTTTTTTATACGTTTATTTTATATATAAATAAAATGATATCATATATAGCTTTTCACGCTAGTAGATAATTGAAGTCCATGATATTTGACATGAAGCCATAAAATGCTAATTTCACGTCTTAAGAATAAAAAAAAATCATGTTTTATTGTTACAAAATTTCTTCATTATTGAAATGTATATGTTTCTAATTAACTTAAACGAAGTCGTCAGTCAGAGGCGCCAATTGTCTTGTTTTATCTTCATAAGAATATCATAAAAAAATATAAAGAATTCAATAAATTTTATTTGCAGTTTGTTTTCATGGTTATTGAAACATCTTGTAAGGTTTTTCAAATAGTAGTTACATTTTTGTGTCGAACATGAGCGAATATTTAGTTTGGTAGTTTGGTAAAAACAAAAAAAATATTATTTTATAAGTAGGGGAGTTAGGGGCTTGTTGTAACAGCGAAAATAAAATTTTTCATATAACTTTACGTTTCAGAGGTTTCTAAACATTTTGGCATACTTTATAATTAGATAAAATGGATGTATATGTGTGTGTGTATATGTGAGCGGATACAAATTTTTGTCGACGATTTCGCGAACACGGATCAACCGATTTGAATAATTCAAAAAACATTCGATTCATATTTATAAAGAGACGTCCTGATTAGTTTTTGGTAAAGGCAGGTCTAGCCGTTTCAGAGATACGGGGTAAAAAGTGCAAAAATGGTATTTTAATTTTTGAGACAACGGAGCGTCCGATTTAAATAATTCAAAAAACATTTTACTTGTATTGACAAAATGAACAACTGCTAAAACTTTTGTAAAGGCAGATCCAGTGACTCAGGAGATCCAATAAAAAAAGTAAAAAATAATGTCATTTGACGGTCAAAAATGAACATTAGACTTATGTGCATTGTGTTATCAGATATTTTATAAAAATTTTAATAACAAGTACAAATTTTGTGTACATTTATAAGAGTTATACGTATATCAATGTTTCTAACACTTACATGTTAGAAGACTACGCGGCGCTTACGCGCTTTGATATTTCGACTTCACATCAGTTATGCAGCGCGATTGCTTAAAAAAATGTTAAAAATTTTCAAAAAATTCATAATACAAATTTCAAAATTTCATTCATAATAACAAAAATTTCTAAATTTCTTAGAAATCTAATTTTTTCAAAGTTTGCAAATTATTTAATTTTTTTTTAACAATTTAGTTTTTGCTACGGGAAGTTCCAGCAATTTGCCTTAAGACACGATTCCATGCACCACGTTAGTTATCAAAGGTATATTAGTGGTATATCACGGTTATTAACTTCCCGTAGGGCAAGTTATAGTAATCGCAAAAAAATCGAAAATGAAAATTTTTATATATCTTTACGTTTCAGAGGTTTCTGAATATTTTGGCATACCTTAGAAAAAATGGATGTATGTGTGTGTGTGTGTGTGTGTATGTGTGTGTGTGTGTATGTATGTGCGGATACAAATTTTCGTCGACGATTTCGGGAACACGGATCAACCGATTTGAATAATTCAAAAAACATTCGATTTGTACTGATAAGGAGACGTGCTGATTAGTTTTTGGCGAAGGCAGGTTTAGCCGTTCCGAAGATACGGGGCAAAAAGTGCCAAAAACGGTACCTCCGTTTTTAAGAGAACGGAGCGTCCGATTTGAATAATTCAAAAAACATTTTGCTTGTATTGTATGGGTTCCGTACCAATGCTTATGCGTTAGACGGCGGCTCGGCACTTGCGAGCTTTGACATTTCGTCTCTATGCAGTTCAAGCAGTGCGATTGCTTTGAAAAAAAGTTCAGAATTTCCAAAATATGTCAAAATGAAGAAAACATTTTTTTTCAAAAATTTTTTGTGTTTTCAAAAAAAAATTTTTTTTTCTCAAAAAAAAATTTTTTTTTTCGAATAAAATTTTTTTTTTCCAAAGAAAGTTATTTTTTTGTCAAATTTATAGTTTCTCAAAAATCTATTTTTTTTAAGTAAATTTTTTTCAAAAATGTTAATCGTTTTTAAAAAAATAATAATTTTTGGTACGGGAAGTTCTAGCATTTGCCTTAAGGCACGATGCCCTAATTGCCTTAAGACAGAATTCCACTTACAGCTAGTTTACTTTTAGGTGCCACTACATAATAAGTCGTTTATAAAATATTTATATCTTCTTAATGAAAATATTAAATTGCTTACTTGTTTGATTAGTACTAAATGTATATATTATTAGTTTACTAAATGAAATATAATTAAAAAGTTGATCAATTAAAATATAAGTAATGAATATCGCTGGGTCGGATCTAATTCATCGGACTTTTGATTCCTACAATTTTTGATCCATTAATTGAAGCCAAATAAAAAGTAAATAACTGGTAATCAATAAATAAATATTCATCTGAATTATCACTAAGGTGTTAATGTAGATAGGTCATGTGACAGCATTCTTTTTAATAGGTCAGGATTGTGGATGATGTAATATATTTTATGCAATATATTTGAGAAGTACTCATATTGCGATTGTCATGAATTTTGTCAGTTTTAAGGTCCATTATTATACTCAATGTTATATTAACAGACTTCTCTTGAAGTATCTTGACAAATATTACTTTGAAGCGCTCAAAGTCAGCATTAAATTACTTGCTAATGAATTGTGTTCATTATTTGATTAAACGGCTATGAAAGGCTAATCAATTGATGTTTAATTATCACGTTAACACATTAATATATATTTGGAATGTTTTGTCAATCGTGAATTGAAAATATGAAGTTTATACATAATTACTAGGTAGGCTGTATAGTAGGGTATATTACATCAAGGTTCTATCAAAAATATATCGAATTCAGGCTTATTATCATTATTATTTTTTTTTTAAATTCCAATATTTGTTACAACTGCTAAATAATATAACATCTAGTAATATAAGTGAATAGTAACATAAATATAAATAAAATATAGTACAAAATAAAGGATAGTAATTCAGGTTTACGAAAAACGAAAATTTGCTTTTTTTGATATTTATTCAACCATATGTGGTAGAGCGGGGCGTAAGATTTAATTTTACTTTAAGCAATCATATTGTGAAAACTAAACCATTTGTATCTCAACAAAATACATATCAAACAAACAACTATCTGGCTATGTTCATTAAAACTCCCAGCTAATTCATCATTGTAGAAATGTGTTTTTTTTGCTGTTTTCCAAATTTTGTCTTTTCAACCCGATAGACGGGTAAAATGGGACGCCAGGGGGAAAGAGGTCAAATGTCTTATTTTTAATTTTAAAGGGATTTATCGAAAGACTAGCAACATTATTCAAGCAATGGTAAATATAAATTTCATAGGTACCTACTTTTTTATAAGGACAACACAGTATATAACCGTGATAATTCGTCAGATATATCAGCAGAGTTGGAATAACTATTTATTTAATTTATCTCTTGTGAAATTGCTTTTTTTTTAACTTAATTTACTTCAATTCACTATTTTATTGTTTACACATTTGCCAGGGTAATGGTTCAGTTGGTCTTTTTTACCCCATAGAGGTTATATAAAAAGAACTATAGGATCTAACTTAAAATTAACAATACATCTTATAAAATAATTAAATAACGTATACTTAAAAAATAAAATAATTTTATTTTTATTTAATAACTTAAAAAACTATCAACGAAATAAAATACCTGTTGTGGATTTTTAAACATTTTTGTTTATCTCTCTTTAAGAATCAAGGTGGTTGATGGTTATACATATTTTTCCTCTACTTTTAAATATTATTAATAAAAATTCTGAACTTTACTTGTTTTTGAAATATAGGTGGTGGACCTTTTTACTCGTGGACCTTATAATATAATATATATATATATATATAATATATATATATATATATAAGTACACTCAGGGGGCGTTCATTAATCACGTGTTCGATTACCTCACCTTCCCTTTGGTGATACGTGGTGATATTCAAAATTACCCCCATTTCCCACCAAACATCACGTGTATTTTTAGTTACGAGATTTTTTTTTTTTAAATACTTGGATTTTTTTAAATGCATTAGGTAAAAAATAAATACACGTAATACCTCCCTCTCCCACGTGATCTTTTGTGATTTTTTTTGTCAAAACCATAAAAACCTCACGTGATTAATGGGCGCTCCTTTATATAAATATTGTTTTTTAATATTTTTCTGATTTATTTGATTCAGGGGTTTGGGATATTCCCTTCTTGGAAAACTTGCAATCCAAAAACTTCCCTAATTCAAACACAACCAAAATCCAATCGCGTGATTCTCGTCAAAAAAATTAATTGAAAGTACGTCGAACTATAGCAGTTCACCAAAACGTAGAACGCAATAAATGAAAAATTGAACAAATAATTTTCCGAGAAGAAAATGTATCACCTATTATTGATAATTAATTTATAAATTTCCTCTTTCCAGAATGCTTAGCAGAAACATTTAACTTGTGCTGTAGTCTAGGAGAGAAATGGGCGGACACTGGAAAGGCATGTAAATCTTTCCCACCTCCTGCTAAAGGTGTCCCACTGGAGCAGCAGCCTGTTTGCTTGGCCACTGTTGAGATCTGCTGCTCCAGGCGGAGAAGAGCGGCCCAATGCGAAGCAGGACAAAAGGCAGCTAAACAGAATAAGGAATGTTATGTACCTGGTGTTGCTGATGACTTCTATAAGGTAGATTACTAATTTTGTGCTATTGAGTTTATAATGCTCCATCATGGTATTGGTTAGAGATTTGGACTTTTATTCAGAAGTTCCAATTTTGATACCCGTCTCGGACAGCATGTAGTGACATCGGTTTTTATATGAAAATATAGGTAGCAATATAATATACTTGCAAGTGAAAACTAGTGGTGTATGGCATCCTGCCTTAAGGCAAATTGCTAGAACTTCCAGTACCAAAAATTATTTTTTGATTAAATAAAGATTTTTTTTTTAACTTTGAAAAAAAAAATAGATTTTTGAGAAATGTTTAATTTCTGAAAAAAAATGACTTTTTAGTAAAACTTTAAAAAAAAATATTTTGAAATATTTTGGAAATTTTGAACTTTTTTTCAAAACAATTGCACTGCTCTAGCTGCATAGAGACGAATTATCGAAGCGCGTAAGCGCCGCGTCGCCGTCTAACGGACAAACGATGTCACGGAACTGATAGAAATGTTAACAAAATTGATACATATTGTTAAAATTTCCATAAAGTATCTGATAATTTGATGTGCATATTCCAATGATCACTTTTGACCGCCAAATGGCATATTTTTCACTTTTTTTTTTACTAGATCTCCGAAAGCGCTAGAGCTGCCTTCCGAAAAATTTAATCAGTTCTTCATCTTGTCAATGCAAGTCAGTTCTCTTAAAAACTGAGTTACCGTTTTTGGAACTTTTTGCTCCGTATCTTCTAAACGGCTAGACCTGCCTTTGCCAAAAATTAATCAGCACGTCTCCTTATCAATACGAATCGAATGTTTTTTTTTAATTATTCAAATCTGTTGACCCGTGTTCCCGAAATCGTCGACGAAAATTTGTATCCACACGCTAACACAAACACATACACACGTCCGTTTTTCTAAGGTATGCCAAAATATTCAGAAACCTTTGAAACGTAAAGTTATATAAAAATTTTCATTTTCGATTATTACTTAGGATTAATGTTCGAGGTGTGCTTTCTTATCAAGTTTTTTATGGTTGTATCTACATTTTTGACAGGATTATTTTTATCCTCTTTCCCTAAAACAGAAATGTTTTTATCATCCCCTTCCTTTCAAATAGAGAATTATCAAGAAAATCTATTATATCATAACTTTCTGTAACCTTTTACTGGATAATATGTATATGTATGATTTATTGATATATGATTCATAAATAAATAAAATATGAAAAGTTGACATTACTGTATGTGAAAAGAATAATAATAAATAATAAATCAATTTTTTCACGTTGGATTATAAGTTACTAAACAAATTATTCATACCAGTAAAGCATAAAATAAGTAGAATGGTAATTGTCGTTTTTCTGACTTCTAACAATAGTGTCGAGGAATATTTTATATTTGTCTTTATAGAAGTCATTTTTATCCTAACTCATACAAAAGCCTAGATATTAATTTTGTGTTGTGGGTTGTTTTACTCAATCTATTAACTTCATGAATACATTAGTAATATCAAGTAAACATGTATATATTTACAAATATATAGACAGGGTGTCCCAGACTTGGACATCAAGCCGAAACGGGGTGATAGTATTGACCTCAACTGTCCTGAAAAAAATTAGAAATAAAAATTATTTTACGTTGTTTGGAAATTATGAGCTTTTAAGTGCAACTTAGAGCTTTGGTGAAGTTATGACAATTTTTTTTTTATTGTGGTTAACTTTAATTAATTATTTAATTTAGTTCATTTAAATTTTGGAGCCGTAACTGTGAATAACATCTCTAGGACCACAGTAAAAAAATACCGAAATTGCCCCAAGGTTTCAAGAATTAAAACTTTTTGTTGAATTATAAAATGAAAATTTTAAAATTAGTCGACTTCCAGAGGCCCTGTTTTAAAAAAATGTACTACAATGTATTGGCGTACCATCAAAAGTTAGCGCATTTAATCAGGATTGCAAAATACTAAATTACTTGATAATTTTATTATTGAAAAATTTTGAGCAAAAAATAAACCTAAAAGTAACACTTGATATTAGCTAGACATATAGTTAAACAACCAAGAAAACATAATGTTTGTCGTCATATTAAAATAGTTATTAATATTAAAACAGCGTGTAAATTATTCTTATTTAACAATGTTCCCGTGCTGACATTGACATGAAATATTCAACGCATAATGGCACTGGCAGTAAAACATCTTGGCATAGTAATATATCAAGTACTAGATTGAATCTCAGACTAATCTATAATGCTAATAACATGAAATGAAACTTTGGTTCGATTGATAATTGTAATATATTTGAATAACTGTAATCGAAAGTAAAATTACTTCAAAACTTTCAATACTGGAGAAGCTTAACATACGTCATTAGGGGGGAAGTAATCGGTGCACCTACGCCAATTTCATAAAAAAATTAACAATTGATTTAAATACTCTAATAAAACATAAAATTTTGGATTTTTTGTTGATAAAGTTTATGTGAATGTATTCACGAAAAAAATGTTTTAATTTTTATTTTTTAAAAAGGACAAATTGTTTATTTTTAAAACAACTTTACCCTAAAATTCTTATCGTTTATTAGAGTTTTTGTAATCGCAAAAAAATCGAAAATATATTTTTGCTTTGATTTATTGCTTTGAAAAAAAAAAATTAAGAATTTTTAAACAATTTTAAAAATCAAATTTTTCAAAAAAGTCTTTTTTTAATAAACTTTCAATAATCTATTTTTTAATGTTTAATAAAAATGAAGATTTTTTGAAATTTTTAAATTATAATACGAGAAGTTCCAGCAATCGTGCCTTAAGTAAGGTAACCATACATCCCGGATTGGCCGAGACAGACCCGATTTTCCGTCTTGCGTCCCGGCTTTTTGTAAAAGCAATATTTGTCCCGGTTTTAGGTGTTTTGTCCCGGATTGTCCCGGATTTTTAAAAATGTTTTGATTGCCAATATATTTTTAAATATATTTTAACTAGAAAATTTGAACTGAAAAATTGTGCATATAAGTTTTTAGCTCACAAATAAACCTCCTCCCCCGCTCTCCCAACATTCTAATCCGTCCCTTAAGGCACTATGCCATACACCACTAGTTTTTTTCTGGTTTTATCAAAACTGGCAAAATTACCATTACCTATAAAACGAAGATTAGCCAAATTTAGACAGTGAATTAATCACTGACTTATTGAATAGAACCAAAATCATATAGTTTACAGATATTCCATAATGTTAGTTATAAACTGAAGATACAGTGCTTTGCATTTTATTACTCTACAAATAATCGTAAAATTGCTTTTATAAAATATATATAATATTTATCAAGATCCAATAACATGTGCAAATTTTAGATATTTATCTCAAGTGGAGCTTTACAAGCAACCCATTTCTTTGGTGCTTTTGAGCCATCTGCTGGCTTGAAATAAATTTGCAGAATGTGATTCATTTTACAATCAAAATTTTATGAAATGCAACTTTATATTAACTACTTTTGCATACAGCATATCACTTTTCGAATGCATGATACGAAATATTTTGTTATACATTTTAGATTAACTTCTTGATGAATTAACCTAATGATTTCGGAAACATTGCATTATGAGATAAACTGTTACTTAACTTCCCGTAGGAGAAGTTTATGTTTTCATCAAAAAATCCCATTCGCCAATTTTATGGTTTTTCGACGTTTCAAGCCATTCTAAATCAAATGAGACCAAATTTAGAAAAAGTATGTGTGTATGTGAACAGATTTTTTGCCGTAAATCGACGTTTTCTCAAAAACGGCTGGATCGATTTAAAAAATTTGAAAGCCATTCGAGGTATCTCAATGAGGACTAGCGCTTATCAAATTTACGCGACGATCAGCCAAACCGTTTCTTTGTAAATCGCAGAAAAGTGAAAAATTTCGTCCACGTTTTAGCCCGCAATTCTGAATCGATTTTAAAAAATCAAAAACTGTTCGGAAGATATTAGTTGCGAATGATACTGATTAGTTTTATGCAAAAATCTACCGAGCCGTTTTCTTGTAATTAACTGTTGATAAAAAAAATTTAAGCCGATTTTCATGGAACTTTGTTTGGCGATATATATCATGGTCTTATAGAACTTACTGAAATATTACGACCTTACAACAAGTAGTTTAATTTTAAAAATTTATCAAAGTTTGAGAAAATTAGTAGTTTTTTTTGACGTTTGTTAAAATTAAAATTAGACGATTTACTTGGTATAACGATAGAGTACTTGGTCTTAATGAACGTACTAAATCTTTAAAGTCCTACGGAAACTGGTTCAATTGTAAAAATTATTGATTTTCGAAAACATGCTTTTAGAAAATACTCCGAGTTAACGTGTTCATTCGTTTTCAATTATGTGTAATAAATCAACTCGGAATACTTTTAATCACTCATAAATTAATTTATTTTTTATTGATCAAGTCGATTATTATTTACACATATCGGGAAGTTCATGTAAGTTGCCTCAAGGCAAAATACCAATACCAACAAATTATCTATTTATTTGTTAATGTGATACATAAAAATCACAAGTCTTACATATTAAATTATCAGCAGAATGAGTTTATTGGCTTTAGGACTACCGTACAAAAATTCAACCTGAAAAAATATTGCTTTTTGTGGCGACGGGGACATAAAAAAATATTTGAACTGAATTTTAGGATACAGATTTTATCGGATTTTAGACCTCACTAAAATGCGAAGTTTCAGTGTTTGTTAAAACGCAAACTTATCTAAATTTTAACTGCTACTAATTTGCAATTTAAAATGTTTTGTATATGCAAATATATAACATTGTATTTATATTCAAAGGTTTTGCTCATGCACACATTGATTTTCACTGGAACGTGCCTTTGCATATACAGAAATCATTATTATCATTCACTGCATCCTTTCACACATAAATCCGGAAAATTGATGATTAGCACCATTTCATGTCCGTATTTGATTTGCATTTTGTTATTATTTGCGTTTTAAAATGAATTATTTTATCGACCGTGCTTAATTATTAATAAATATTGACAACAATGAAATGTTTTATAAATGTACATGCATGAGCAATTTGAGTGCACAAAGTTTGATTTGGATTTATCCTTGTACCCATTTTGATATTATTTACTTTGTTTTTTTTGTTGTACATTTTGGTATTGTTTAAATTTTATTCATAGCATAAATTCATACAGAATACGCTTAAATTGAAAAAAAATCTTGATTTTAGAAGTAATATTTTTTTAAATATTCTGATTATATTAGTGAATATGCTTATTGCTTGCACAAATTGCTTATTAAAAATTTAAAAAATTTGCTTTTTACTTACGAATATATCAGTTATACAAATATACGCAATTGTAATCAACTAACAAAAAATTACATCACTATCTTATAAATTCATTTCAATTACCAGTTTTTATATAAATTTACCTTGTGTTTAATTAATAGTATTTTTTCCATCAAGACTTTCAACATGTTTACATAAAATCTCATTATTATTCTAATTTTTTGTATTGAAAATTATCATACAAATCATCTTTATGCTTTTAACATTAAGTATATGGTAGGGCGGGGCACAAAGGTCCACATTGACTTTGAGAACGTATATTATATTATGAAATTTATATTATGAAAACCAATCCAATTATATCACAACAAATAATACATATCAAACAGACAATTATCTGATTATGTTTAGTAAAACTCCAAGCTAACATCGTTGTGGAAATGTATTTTTTTCCTGTTTTTCAAAAATTTGTCACCTGATCTTTTCTACCCCATAGGCGGAGTAAAATGGGACGGCCAGGGGGCTAACAGGTCGAATGTCTTATTTCGAATTTACGAAATAATAGCGACATTATTCAATCAATGCAAAATATAAATTTTATGGTTACATTTTTTACGGAGATAACACTGTAAATAATCTTGATCTGGTATTTCGTCAGAAATATTCATCAACAGAGTTGGAAAATTGCTTTCTTAGTTAATTTACCTATTTATTTACCATATATTATTGTTTACACCTCTGCCAGGATAAAGGTTTAAATGTATCCCTTTTATATATGTTATATAAAAAACTGTTGGATCTAACTTAAAATTTACTATATATTTTATAAAACAAATAAATAAAGTATACTTAAACATTATATCAAGGTTTTGTACCTTGAACTAAATAACAGTGCTTACAACCAAAAAAATTAACAACGAAACAAAATACTTTTGGTATGGATTTTCAAAAATTTCAGTTTATCTTCCGAAAGCGACATCTCAAAAATAAAGGTGATTGTTGGGTATACATCTTTTGCCCTCAACTTTCAAATAATTAATTAAATAAATTAATGTTAAAAATTCTTAACTTTACTTGTTTTTGAGATAACGGTGGTGAACCTTTTTACCCGCGGACCTTTAAGCCCAGCTCTACCCTATATGATATAAATAAATAGAAATCTATTACAACTGCATATAACAATAGAATTAAAGGCAATCATATGCTTTGCTTTGTTTTAACATTCTCATCCAATAATAATAAAACTAGTGGTGCATGGCATCGTGCCTTAAGGCAAATTGCAGGAACTTCCCGTACCGAAAATTAAATTTTTTAAAAAAGCTTTAAAATTCTTTGAAAACTTTGGAAAAAAAATAGATTTTTGAAAGTTTTGAAAAAAAAATAGCTTGAATTCATAGTAACAGTCTAACGGAGAAGCATTGGTATGGAATCCATAGAAATCTAAACAAAATTTGTACTTAGTATTAAAATCTCTATAAAATATCTGTTAATTTGTTGTGCATATGTCTAATGATCATTTTTGACCGCCAAATGACTTTTTTTGGATTTTTTTTTCACTCGATCCTCGAAACCGCTAAACCTGCCCTCCCAAAAATTTGATCAGTTCTTCATTTTGTCAATACAAGTAAAATGTTTTTTGAATTATTGAAATCGGAAGCTCCGTTCTCTCAAAAACTGAATTATCATTTTACTCTTATTGTCAAAATGAATAACTGGTTAATGTTTTGGGAAGAGAGGTGTAGCGGTTTCTCAGATCGAGTAAAAAAGTAAAAAAAAAATGCCATTTTCGAAATGATCATTAGACATGAGATTATCAGATATTTTATAGAGATTTTAATGATAAGTATATATATTTCTAAGGGTTTCATATTAATGTTTTTAAAGCTTTTTTTAAAAAAATTAATTTTAGGTACTGAAAGTTACAGCAATTTGCCTTAAGACACGATGCCATGTATCACGAGTTTGTATTTTTAACTTCACGTAGGGCAAGTTATAGTAATCGCAATAAAATCGAAAATGAAAATTTTTATATATCTTTACGTTTCAAAACCCACTGAACATTTTGGCATACATTAGAAAAAATGGATGTATGTGTGTGTGTAGGTGTGTGTATGTGTGTGTGGGTGTGTGTATGTGTGTGTGTGTGTGCGGATACAAATTTTCGCCGACGATTTCGGGAACACGGATGAAGCGATTTGAAAAACATTCGATTTGTATTGATAAGAAGACGTGCTGATTAGTTTTTGGCATAAGCATGTCCAGCCGTTTCGAAGATACGGGGTAAAAAGTACCAAAAATGGTAACGCAGTTTTTGAGAGAACGGAGCGTCCGATTTTAATCATTCAAAAAACATTTTACTTGTATTGACAAGATGCAGTATTGGTCACATTTTTATGAAGGCAGGTCTAGCGGTTTCGGAGGTCTAGGCGAAGCGGCTCTTACGCGCTTCAATATTTCGTCTCTATGCAGTTAAAGCAGTACGATTGCTTTGAACAAAAGTCCAGAATTTCCAAAATATTTCAAAATAAAACATTTTTTTCGAAAAGTCTTTTTTTTTCAAATAAAGTAAATTTTTGACAAAAATTTATAGTTTCTCAAAAATCTATTTTTTTCAAAAATGTTAATCTTTTAAAAAAAATATATTTTTTGTACAGGAAGTTCCAGCAATTTGCCTTAAGGCACGATGCCATGCGCCCCACTAGTTGTTCACTATATTGCATATTAACATATTTGTTTTTATCGTTTCAGGATTGTTGCGAGGCTTGCAACATCGGGTTGGTAGTGGGTTCGATGGGAGCCGGCTGCAAGCAGGGCTTTTCGTTCGGTGCCGGGACCGACGCCTCGTTCTCGGTTTGCTGCGAGGAGATGGCGAGGAACTTGTCGACTAGCCAGACGTCGACGTACGCGCCGCAGAGCATCGTGGCCACCAGCAAGCCGATGCCCGAAGCCGCGAATGATCTGTCGCCCTTGGGTGAGCGGAAACTCGATTGCGATTCATTATCACGAATTTATTTACTCATGTTCTTTTTAATAACGAACTTTTCTTTATTGTAGAGACACGATAAAGAATTTTTTTTGTGCGTATTTCATTTGACATTCATTTGAAATTGCGTGGGATATTTGGGGTAGATATGGATAATAATTGCTTGTTATTGACATAAATAAGATGTGTTTGTTGAAAAACGGATATAGCAGAAGTTTGTAATAATTTATTTTAAAATTTATAATATCAAGAACAATTTATTTTTATAATAGTATAATTATTAATATTATAGAAATTTATACTATCATACAGTACAGGTAACCCCCGTAGAACACAATACATACTTCTATATCGCGGTTTGAGAATTGAAACTATCTCCTTTGGGGGCGTCTATTAATCACGTGATCGATTTTTTAGGGATTTTTGGACCCCTCCTCCTTCTCGGTGATACGTCGTGATATTTAGAATTACCCCCCCTTCCCCACCAAACATTACGTGTATTTTTAGTTACGTAAAATTTTTTGAATTTACGAAAAAAACGTAAAATTTTTGTTTTTTAAACATTTAGGTAAAAAACAAATACACGTGATATCTCACCAGACCCTTCTCTCCCCCGCGTGATTTTTCGTGTTTTTTTCTCAAACCCCTCCTCCCCCTACAAGCCTCACGTGATTAATGGACGCCCCCTTTATTATAACACGGTACTTTCATAGCAAAGTTTTACTCTACCAGGTATTTCTATATCACGGTTCTAGTATTGAGGCTATCTCCCTTATAACACGGTACTTTTATAGCAATGTTTCACTCAACTAGGGTTTGATAATTGAACAAAACCCTAATAAAATATGAAATATAGTAAAAGCGAACTTTATTTTTTTATTTAATTTTATTTAAGTTCATTTAACGTTAAAATTTAAGTTTTATTTCAGCGCGTACGTTTTGTATATAAAGATATTTTGTACATAAAGATTCTTCAAATAAAATGAGCGCCTAATTTAAAAGGGATCTTTGCAAGCGCATATATCGTACAAAGATCTTTTCAATTAATTCAAGCAATAGAGAATAACAGAAATTTTCCATAAGGTAAAGCAAGTAAAAATTTGTAGATAATAGAGAAAAATGCTATAAGACGAGGATAACTTACCAAATAGAAAACTCTCGCGTTGAATAAGCACATATTGATGACGAATAAAATATTGAGTTATTTTATTTCTTCATATGTATTACTTCTTTAAAAAAAATTATTTATATTCATCTTTAATATAAAAATATATGTAGCATATTTTTAAAATTTTTGGAACCTTATTTTTATATTGGTTATTTGTTTCGTATAACACAGTACTTTTTTGAAATCTAACGTGTTGTAGGGAGGTTACCCGTACAACATAAGTATAGGAATTACTTGACAAATTTTTAAAAAAACTTGTTTCATTATTTATTGTTACATAACATACTTAATGGTTTTGAATCTAATTATATAACCAATAAAAATATATCAAGAATGAAAATTATTTATACATCTAATTTTTACGACGGGTTGTATTAAATTTACAAACTATTAGTTTACACAAAAAAAACATTTTTTTAATTGTTACCCTTTACTATTAGTTTACGGTAAGACGAATTTGAAGGTTGATCTTATACTTTGGTTTTTACATATTGCTTGTTGTAAAAATTTTTTTTGATGACATTTACTGATTATACTTCTACGAAATAAGGATGAACAGATGCAGTAACTATACCTCTACCGAATCTAGTAAAAATAATTCAATAACTGTTGTTCATTATTTCACGATTAATCTTTTTCTAGAAAAATTGCGGTTTTACAACTTACCTTAACCCCTTATTTGGGGATAGTTATTACATCTACTGGGACAAGTAGTGTAACGATAAAAAATCAAATAAAATTAATACCTCTGATAATTTATTCTTTACTTACTTTTAAGGATATAGTGTCTCTTGTAAAAGATAGTATTATGAATCAACGTAAAATAAGACAAATAAAACATATAGTGATTATTTTGCAATTACAAAAATTGTTACACATTTTTAAAGATTGATAATTTTGAAACGCAATATAATATATAAAATTTAAAATAGGTCGATAATAAAAGTGCAAATAGAAATTTTGATAGTACAATTTAATATTACATGTGAAAAATTACGGATGTGTACAGTTCAGTATATTATATTGCTTGGGCCTCTGCGGGACAGTAGCTATGACAATATTATGCAGGACGGTTTATATATACAATTAAGATAAAAAAATATCTACGGTACGGTCCAAATGTTTAATTTGTTTTATTATTTTCAAGGAATAGGGTAAAATATTCTTCTGATTCAGGCATTTTTCATTAAGTGAACATTTGTACTACGATGTAACTTTAAAATGTTTATTCATCTATGCCGATTTCCTTGTTGATATCGGTACGCATACAACGTTGATGCCGGTACGCATACTACGTTGATGCCGGTATGCATACAACGACAGATCTCTATTCACATACACCACGTCTAATCACAAACGATCCGTATAAAAATGATTTCATCAAGAGCGAATGACGAATCATTGGAACTCAGCTCGGCCATAACGCACTTCCGTTAGTCGCGCCTGAAGAAGTTTTACTTAAAAAATTAGGTTCTTGATAGTCGAAAGTTTTATAGATTCTAAATAATGGTTTTAAATAAGTGTTAATTTTTTGTATGATACTATTATATATCTGCAATAGTTAGTTGAGCCAGTTATTAAATTTATTCTCAAAACAGACGGTTGACGGTATCGTTGAAGTTCATAAATCTCATCTTCCGTGCGCTTAAATAACCTCAAAGTCTGCTATATTTCTTCAATTTCAAAATGTTGATTACGCCATAAATATTAAGTGGCACCAAATTAAATTTTCTGTTCCGTTACCGATTCGTTGTCCTCGATGGTCAGATATATACGTGTAGAAAGGTACATGTTTTTCTTGAAATGCCAATCATTCGTCGTTGAATGACGCACGTTGGGACGACGAAATGAGCGACCGCCGAAGAAGCAAAATAAGGGAAATAACACCCCTTGGATTCGGCAAACAGTCCGCTGTGATCGATCGACGTAGTCGCTTCGAGGCGACCAAATAGGCTTTAGTCGCCTTTAGACAACGAAATAGTCTAGTCGGTCACATGTACATAGATAGTTGTTTTAATTAGTAGTCTACTAATTAGTATTTTACTATAATAATGAAATAGAAATTATATTGTAATAAATAGTACGTAGGGCAGTACTGTGTAGAGCAGATTTTTGCCGGTGAACTCTTTGTACAACACGTGCTTCGACAGATGTTGAATTTAATTTAAGAAAAAGAATGTGGAATAAAAAATTTATTTAAAAAGTAAAATAAGCTCTTAACTGGAATTGGTAAAGGTAGTTTACATATATATATATATATATATATATATATATATATATTGTATGATTCTGAATTTGATGTTGACATATGCATTAACAAAGTCTAGTAGTCGGGCATAACATTAATAAAAAACATGAATTTCTTTCAAAAATTTATTTTACATTGATACGTTTCGGCTATAATCCTAGCCTTTATTCAGTGGATACTAAAAATAAAATTAAAAACTAAAACAATTGAATAGAAGTGAAATTTTTTTTAAAAAAATTGTAAATACTTACAATTAGTTATTCTTAGTGTTACATTAGAAGATTTTAATAATCCATGGTATCAGGATCTGGTAATGCACTACACTATGTAATATAAACATTAATCTTGTAATTAAACAATATTTCACAAAATATTAATTTAAAAAAAAGCACAAATAGATAGTGTGTAATATATATGTTGTTCGTAGACTGGTTTAAGATATAATGGAGAATAGACTTTAAAAATATTTTTACCAAGATTCTACACATGTGTGGAACGAATTGCGAATCCTTTGCGCGATTGTTTTTATTGTTTTGTGAGAAATTTGAAATTGCTATGTAAATAAAAGAGGTTTGTGTCTCACAGCCTGTTAAGTTCATTCCGTTTATTAATTGTCTTATTGTTATAAATAGTTGAAAAAGATCTTTTTAAAATTTTTCGTTTAAATAAATTTTGTTCGACTTGTGTTTCAAAGTTCCAATAATGTGGTTCGCAAACATAATTTAATTCAAAAAAATCCCAGACAATTTAAAACTATGCTTGCGGACCACATTTATACTTTAGAACACAATATGGACTTATATATATATATATATATATATAAAATAAAAAGAAAACTAAAAATATGTTTCTTAAAATAAGTTTAATAGAACCATACGTTTCGAGTTTCAATTTGACTCTTCCTTAGTGTCTGTCCACGCAGTCACCATCTACTCTTCCAGGCGTGATAGTCTAAATTATTATACCGAATACTAGTACCCGAAAAAACATGAGAAAAACACCCTCAAAATATACTTTTTAAGGTGCGAAATACTTTTGAACTGGTTACCGCGACTAGACTGTGACAATGACGCTCAACATCTGGCAAGATTGTTATTGTGGCTTTATTTATGATATACAGACGCGGAAACGTTAAACAACTAGCCAATTTTTAAATAAGGCCATTGTGTCATTTTGTCATATATACAATTATATATGTCCATATTTCCTCTATATGTTGTAATACCATTAATTAAAAAAAATCTTCTTAATAATATTATTAAGTTATTTTATGTTTTTAAAATATATGTATAAAAAGTGAAAAATGTTTCAAAAAATGTTACATATTTACAAAGGTTTTTGTATTATTTATCCTGATTTATTCAACTGACAATAAAACTCATTAGAAATTTTCTAAATTTGAATATATTAGTAGTGAACCGTGAAAGCAAAAAATTAAATAAACATTGTTTTTTTTTTTCAAAAATGATCTAAATGAAAAATAATATCTAATTCAGTTACAATTTTTCAGATTTGGGCAATTTGTGCGAAATGTTACCAGGAGAATTATGTGCGCATATTTGTACGCCTGTTCCGGGGTCCTTCGTGTGCGAATGCAGACCAGGATTTAGTTTGATGTCTGATGGAAAATCTTGCCAACAAAGAGAATTACCAGACAGGTAAACCAGCTACTTAATATTTTACTTAAATTTTTGTTATTTAATACTCTTGGTGATACAGAATATAAGTCGACATATAATAATAAAAAGATAATTGACTTTTATTTGCGTTCTCATCATATTGTATATTAACTGATGTTCATTAAATGCTGCTCCCGCATTGGTTTTCTGCGCGTATGATTTTTATCTATCTAGCATAGTAATTAAGCGAGATTGTAAATTGGTATGAGTTAATCATAAAACAGAAAAAGAAGATTTAAATTTATCTTCAATTTGAAATCGGTTTTAATCAAAATTGCTTGAGGGACCGCCTTAGGATGCTCACAAAGAAATTATCACTTGACTTATACTATTACACTACTATGTTAACTTACGATTAGTAATTGTCCAATGGAACTGTTCATTGACTATGTTATAAATCAATGCACCAGTGCTTCCAGCTTGCGGATGTGAAAATCGAATAATATTCTGGAAAATGATCCAAGAAAACTGAAGAAAATATAGAAACTATGAAAATACTGTCAGTGAAAATGTAATTTTATATTAAAATTGTATGTTGTACTTTGAGCGTACGAGCGTATTATGAAATTACTTTGGGCTTCCTAAATTTTATGCTGCCGTAGGATTCTAAAGCTTTAAATTTCATATTAGTACAATACTATACGGTTATTATCTGGAAAGCAAAAAAAAATTGTTTGTATATTAAATCAATATCTTAGGACAAGGAAACAAATTGTTCTGTAAATATTTGACAGTTTTGTGAAGCCATATGCAATTCTATGGCATATGAAAGAGCAGTAAATTGATAATCAATTGTTGAAATCATTATTTATATCAGTTTATTTTTTATATTGGTTACTCTAACAAATGCCCTGAAGAATGAGATTTATATTTTGCAAGGTTTTGATGCGAAATTGTAGTTTAATTATTTAGGTGAAATAAGACAATAATCTCAATCCATCATACTAGCCAAATTCCATGAATATAATATATATTATTAATTCTTCATATGGTAAGTTGCATTTTTTGCATATATTCAAAAAATGTTGTGAGTGTGTTTGTGCGTGTAGTTGTATTTTTGTGTGTTTGGATACAATTTTTCGTCAACGATTTCGAGAGTATTGTCTTATTTCACTCGGTTGATCGGACGGATCAACCGATTTGAATGATTGACAAAATGACCGATTCTTATTGACGGGAAGACGTGCTGATTAGGTTTTGGCAGAGGCAGCTCCAATGTTTTTAATTTTCCGTAGGGTAAGTTATAGTAATCATTCAAAATTCGAAAATGAGCATTTTTTCATATCTTAACGTTTCACAGGTTTCTGAACATTATGGCTTACGTTGTGTATTTGCGTATGCAATATGTATGTATGTATGGATAGAAATTTTCGTCGACGTTTTCAGGAGCACCACTCAACCCATTTGAATTATTTATTCAATTCGATTCCTATAGATAAGGAGACGTCCTGATTAGTTTTTGGCAAAAATTGCTCCAGCTGTTTCGGAGATACGGAGCATGAATGATTCAAAAAATATTCCGCTTGTATTTATGTAATTAGGAATTGATTAAGTTTTTGCAAAGGCAGGTCCAGCGGAGATACAGGAAAAAAGTTTTAAAAAATGACATTTAGCAGTCGAAAATCATATATTTTGTAATTTGAATCAACCGATATGAATTGGAATCAAAAACTTTAAATTTTGAAAAAATTATGAAATAAAATGTTAGTTTTCAAAAAATTTCCAAAATCTAATTTTTCCTTTCTGAGCTTTTAAAAATTTGCGATACGAGAAGCTCCAGCAATTTGCTAGGGAGGTTGATTCTTGGAGATGAAAATGACAAAGTGAATCGGACATCGTATTTCGCCCATACAGTTTATTAATAACTATAAACTCTATTTTATATCATCAATTACTTTCGCTGATTGTATTTTTAGATTTTGATCACTGTAATTCTGGCGACCAATAAAAGTTTATTTTTGCGCGACTGCATTCAATTATTACAATTTCTAAAAATATAACGAGTAGCCAGTCGGAAAATGTACAAAAGTAGTTACAATTGTGGATGACGTACGCATATTCAACGAAGTTCACGCATGCATTATTCAAGACCACGGCACATCACGATGTGCGATAATAATTGTATTTATTAGGCACCCTTGTATCCACTTGAATGTTGACATTTTTTATTTTTGTATCTTATTTAGTACTCCAACATTGTACATGCATCGCATCAATATCAAATTAGATTAGAAATTATTGAATATCATATGAATTCAAGTTAAAAAGAGTAGGATAGGGCGGAGCAAACCGAACCAATTATATCATAACAAATAACACATTTCAAACAAACAATTATCTGACTATGTTCAGCAAAACCCCAGCTAAATCATTGTAGAAACGTGTTTTTTCTGTTTTTTCTCAAAATGTGTCAGCTGCTCCTCTATACCCCATGGTCGGGGTAAAATGCGACAGTCAGGGGTCAAACAGGTCTAATGTATTATTTTTAATTTTAAAGGGATTTTACGAATTAATAGCTACATTATTCAACCAAAGCAAAATACAAATTCCATGGGTACATTTTGTAAAAAGATAACACTGTAACATTGGTCTGGTATTTAATCAATGATATTCATCAGCAGCCTTGGAATAACTATTTAATTAATTTATCTCTAGTAAATTTGCTTTTTTTAACTTAATTTTCTATTTTATTGTTTATCCTTTGCCAGGGTAATGGTTAAGTTGGTGCTTTTTACCCCGCGCACGTGCAAGTACTTACAGAGGTTATATAAAAAAACAGTTGAATCTTTTTTAAAAATAACAATACATCTTATAAAATAGTTAAATAACGTATACATAAAAATTATATTAAGGTCTCGTAAACTAAACAACAGTGCTCACAACCAACAAAACCAACAACAAAAAAAAAAACTCTTGTAATAATTTTCAAACATTGCCGTTCATCTTCTTCAATCATTCACAAAGCAGCGTTGTAGGAATCAAGGTGATGGCTGGTTATACATCTTTTACTTCTACTTTCAAATATTGTCGTTATAAATTTTTTAACTTCACCTGTTTTGAGATATCGGTGGAAGACCTTTTTATTCACGGACCTTTAAGCCCCCGCTCTATTCTATGTTATTTTTAGCAGGGTGAAGACTCTTGCTGGTGGATCCATTAACAAATGAGTTTCTAAAATTTTACCTTATGATATTACATGAAATTCCCTAGGTTGAGTGTCTAAAGCCATGGTTTTCATTTGAAAGTTTCTGATTCGATACCCAACTCGGACAGCCTGATGTCAAGCAGTAGTGACATCGGTTTTTATTTGCTTTTATAGATAGCAATATATTTCCAAGTCTTTGTCCGGCATTGCTGCACCCAATAAAAAGTCATCATTTTTAGAATTTTTAATAATAATAAAATATGCAAATAGATATAGAGCAACCGCTGGGTTGCCATCTATAAAGTCCCCATTACAATAGCACATAAAACTCGTTAAATTCTAATGACTTTAAACAACAAAACAAATAAAAAAAAGTTATGGTGAGTCATAGTAGTTTGTTGCAGAAAAAAAGCTTTATCATCAGCTAAGTTACTTAGATTTTTTTTCCTTTATTTATCCATTTGTTAATAATTAATTAATTAATTATTCAAACTATAATGAAAACTAAGTATTGTATAAGCCGATCTCTTACCTTTTCTTACAGTTTTTGATGCAATTTTTAATTATTAATTATTGTTATATTATAGTCCAGAGTTTTTGTGAATATTTGCAATTCATAAACATCTCAAGGTCGATGAAAATTAAATCTGTAAAAAAAAAATTTTTAGCGCTCAATTTTAATCATCATATAAATTTATTTAGACGTATTTAGAGTAACAAACTTTCTGTTATAGTTAGTAACTTAAATCATCATAAAACATAATCGAGGAGATGAATGATTTTGTTATTATTTTTATGCAGATATATGATTCAGGTAGTAATAATTATAAAAAAAAACTACCTCTAAGTGTGTAAATTATGTAGTTAATTATTTAATTCCGGGTAATGGATTTACACCCAAATTTTTTGGCGATTTCTTAAGCTTTACTGCATCTCTCCGAACGTTTTCATCTCAATTGTGTGGATTATGTTAAAATATAAATTTTGTTTTTGCTTATTATTTAAATAAATAAATTTATAGACAAATGTTTTTATATGCAGTCGTATGCTATGCTATCAAAATTTTATTACAAAATATACATAATCACAAAATATGCATTTGTAATTTTTTAAATAAATGCTTTTGAGAAAACAGAATATAGAAAATATTCAAAAAGTAATTTTTTTCGATAAATAATGTTTAGCTATATTACTTTGGCATTGAGATAGAAAAATGTGTAAAATCTTCATGAAAATTTATTGATTTTGTCAATATTATTAACGAGATAAAATCAATATTAGTAAGAGATAAAAAAATCAATGAAATATTTATGAATCGTTATTAGTCTTGTATTAGGAAAATAATCCTGTAGTTGAAAATAAAATTGATAGCCGTTGATATATTTTAAATTGTAGTTGCTGTAATAAATAAATGGTTAATGGCAATTTTCGGAGCTTTTTAAAAATAAAAATAACAGTATAGAAAAAACATATTACTATCTCTAATTTAAAGCATCAGCCGTATCAATATATGGTTAAGAAAAATTAAAAAAGCCGTATCATATACATTAGTGAGCAAAAATTAAAAAATTAAATCTTCTGAATTTTTGTTTTATTCACAAATAACAAAAGTCAATTTAATCATGAAAACTTTGTCTAACTCAATTTAATTTTAGTCAGAAGTGGAAATGATTTTGATAAGAATCTCATGGAATCTTGATCTATAGATCTTGAAAGAATTTTTCCAGAATCTTAAAAGAATCTAGTCAGGATCTGGTTGGAGTCTAGTCAGTCTCAGGTTAAAACCTTATTAGAAAATTGTCAGCATCTATTTGGTATTTACTTGGAAGTTGAAAAATTCAGCCATCATTATCAATAAATGATTTCTAGATTTGAATTGTTTCTAGGAATTGTGGAATAGTGACATAAATATTGATTATATATAAATATTTCTGTTAATTGTATGATATTCAATTCATTTTGTGAGAAATTTTTGCTCTTGGTGAGGACTCCCAAAAATTTTTGATATTGTGTCCTGCCAATACACGCTACGCCCCTGATGTAAACACATTTGGATCTTTTCACCCCTAAGTGAACAACCACCCACCAACTATCAGAATATGGATTTTTTTTATATATTTTTAACAGCAATCGGAACCTTTCGTCCTATGAGCTGTTGGGCTGAAACTTCTCCTTACTTCGTATTTTTTAGATGGTAATCAAATGGTTACCATCCATTCATATTTGATGATTTTTGTTATTAGAATTAATCTAATAGGGCTGACTTTTTATTGGTGTAGCAATGCCGGGCAAGGGCTATTTTCACTTGGAAACATATTGCTATCTATATTTCCAAGTGAAAATCGTTGTCACTGCTGCCTGACAACAGGCTGCTCGAAGTGGGTATCGAGCCCGGAACCTCTGATTCAGGTCCCGTGGATCTTAACCGCTTACCTACGGGCGAACCCATATGGATTTATGAAAATATAATTATTATGAAAAAATTGGGTGCTAAAACTGCAGTTGGGACAAGAGAAAATTGCTCCCGATCAACCGAATGAATATTGTTTTTGAATAAAAATTGAGTCAATAAGCCTGATTAGCTCTATATATGAAAAACATCGAGTTGACCAGTGCGGTTCGTACATAGTAACAGGCGTGCATGCAGAATAAAAACAACGTGTAACGTGCCTGTCGATGTGCACTCGATTGGCCAAAAGGTCGCTGTCTAAAAATAATTTATATATGTGCAGAAAAACAAACAATAAAAACTCCGAGCGGGGATAGTGACTGCTTAATGCACGGCATTATTGACCATATTGACTCCCATACTTCGGCCTGCAGAAATGATAAGATATTAACAGAGACCGTCGATGAGTTAAAACTCATTTTTTATACAAGCCGTTCTTTTTTAATTATTTAAAGAAACTTGGAGATCCGCATTTATTTTATAGGTGTTTAAATAAAATTTTATTTCTGCTTTATAGGAGAAAGATTAAGTTACGTTGTTTGGACATTATGAGCTTTTAAGTGCAATCTAAAGCTTTGGTGAAACTATGACCATATTTCGATTATTGTCATTGATTTTTATTAACTTTGTTCATTTAAACTTTGGAACCATAACCGTGAACAACATTTCTAGGACCACAATCAAAAACGTTAACACAATTGCCTCAAGGTTCCAAGAATTAAAACTTTTTGTTGAACTATAAATTTAAAAATTTTAAATTCGATCCCTTCGTTTAAATTTAAATTTAAATTTAAACTGATAAATGTTCTAAAGTGTGTTGGCAAGTTTCATCAAAAGTTGGCACATTTAATCAGGATTGTAAAATACTTGAAAATTTTATTATTGAAAAATTTCAAGTAAAAAAATAAAAACCGAAATTGACATGATTTTTGCTAGTACATTTTACTCGCGATTAGTTCAAATGCCTCGCTCTTGTAGATTCAACATTTATTCAACAAAATTTATTCAACGTTTGAGGATATAATTTTCTTCAAGAACAGGGTGATAACAAATGAAATCAAAATATTAAAGATTTATATTAGTTTAATTATTTTTAAATTAAAATAACTCACTTTTAGCTTAATAATTAAAAAAAAATCAAAATTGAGGAAAAAGTGTGTTCTTTCAATATGCGATAATCTGAATATAATATTTATTAGCCTTACAATTACTACAAATTTATCAGGTAAAAAACATTTTGTGATTTTCTGAAGTTTTCAGTACAAACTAGATATATAAAATTTAAAATTTAAATCTAATAATATGGTATGTTAATAATTTAAATCGTAACCCGTTGATAGAATTATTGATCGTCATTGATCTTAACAAAATCAACAAAGTTATAAAAAATATTTTAAATTTATATTTTTATTTATAATAACATATCTTTTGGAATATTTTAAAACAGTTAGATTTTTAAGAAATCTGTTGCAACTGTAAGAAGCTAAATTAAAATGTTTATAAAAAAATATAAAATCTTTCATATTTTATAAAATCAATAAAATGCCAGAAAAAAATGTTATAGAAATTGTGAAAAATATTTTTGTAGATTGAAAATGTATATACAATATTACCTCGCATAACGATGCTTTCTTTAGCGCTGTCACGGTTTAACGCTTTTATTTCTGCTCCAAAATATGGGTGAAATTGTGATAAAAATAATAAAATTAGCTAAAAAACGGTTTTTATGAGATAAACGTGAAAGATGTCATATAAATAGTTCATGAATCAGCAGATAGTCTTTTTAATAATGATCTTAAGTATTTAACTGATTTAAGCAAAAAGACAACAACAACAATAACAATGATTTTGAATAATAAAAATAGTATAAATTGAGACAAGAATTCAAAATTCACACGAGATGTTATATTATTTTTTATTCACTTATCAACAACTTTTTTGGCAAAAAGGCAAAAAATTGGAAACATAAAAAAAACAGAATTAGAATTTTAATTGTTTTTATAAATTTATATTATTTTTATTTTTGGTTGAATTGTATTATTTTCATTAGTATTATTTCCATAAAATTGCAAACAAGATACAATGATATTTTATAAGCTAATTTTATATGAACAGGGAAAAAATATGTTTGAATAGTTTTTTTTCTTTTTTTTGTTATATACATATAATTACAATCTGCCTGGTAAGGCATTCAGTAATTTTCGTGATAAATGCGTAGATATAAGATTTTTAAATACTACCCGGTCCTCACTTTAAGTTTGAAAATAGAATAGAAAAACAAAATAGAATTCACCCCATAAAGAGGAAGTGTAGTGTTTTTTGTATGAAATAAATGTTTAATTTTATTTATGTTAGAAATAAATACAGTGTTACTAACTTTGATGTAATGCCAATATTCAATCTATCTTTCCTTAACCCTCGCAATAATATATTAAGACCAGTGGGGCGCATGGCATCGTGCATTAAAGCAAATTGCTGGAACTTCCCGTACCAAAAAAAATTTTTTTTAAAAGATTAACATTTTTGAAAAAAAATTACTCTGAAAAAATTAGCTTTTTGAGAAACTATAAATTTTTGACAAAAATTTACTTTTTTTGAAAAAAAAAACTTTTTGAAGAAAAATTTATTTTGAAATATTTTGGAAATTCTGAACTTTTTTTCAAAGCAATCATACTACTTTAACTGCATAGAGATAAAATATCGAAGCGCGTAAGCGCCTCGCCGCCGTCTAACGGATGAACATTGGTACGGAACCCATAGGAATGTAAACAAAATTTATAATTATTGTTAAAATCTCTCTAAAATATCTGATAATTTGATGTGCATATGTCTATGATCATTTTTGACCGCCAGATGGCATTTTTTTTAACTTTTTTTTACTAGATCTCCGAAACCGCTAGACCTGCCTTCATGAAAATTTGATCAGTTTTTCATCTTGTTAATACAACTAAAATGTTTTTTGAATTATTCAAATCGGACGTTTTTGGCACTTTTTGCCCCATATTTTCGGAACAACTAGATCTGCCTTCGCCAAAAACTAATCAGCACGTCTCCTTATCAATACGAATCGAATGTTTTTTGAATTATTCAAATCGCTTCATCCGTGTTCCCGGAATCGTCGACGAAAGTTTGTATCCGAACACACATACACACCCACATACACACGCAAACACACACACATACACATACACATACACACACACACATATATCCATTTTTCTAAGGTATGCCAAAATACTCTGAAACGTAAAGATCTATAAAAATTTTCATTTTCGATTTTTTGCGATTACTATAACTTACCCTACGGGAAGTTAATAAGCGCTGTTTCGCTTTGCGCTTTACTTTGATGGAACCTAACCCTCCCGCGTTAAGCGAGGTATTACTGTATTTGATTATAGATTCAGCATAATACATAAAACAAAAAGTAACCACTTATTCATGACTCGCGTACATAAGCACATGACCTATAATTATGAAAAATTAAAATAGCCGTCATGGGCCCTTATTATCGTGTTTTTATTGCATGGCCTGTCGATATATCGTAAGAGGGTATAATCGCAGATATCATGTGACTTTAATTGAACGATGTTTATTGATTTATCCGTTACTCTTTGACCATGACAGGTGCGTGGAAAGCAACCCGTGCAGCCAGAAGTGCCTGGACACCCGGCTACGCCATCGAATGCTCCTGCGAACGCGGCTACGAACTGATGCAAGACAAGGTCACTTGCGCAGGTAACTATTTTTTTAATGCGGGCGCTCATATTGTCCTGTTCACTCAATTCAATATGAAAATTTCATGCATTCCTTAATGAAACAGTTTTATTGTAGTTCTGATATAAATTACTATTTATGAAAATTATATGTTTTGTAACTCTGATTTATTACTGGAGTTCACTGTGCTTTATATCTTATACTTAGTTGAATTTTTAATATATTCAGGTTAAAACTGAATTGACTTAGCTTTTGATATTTTTTTTAGAAAATGAAGTTTAAAATACAAATTTCATAACAATAATAATGCCCTCTTAGAATGTGCTGATAGCGCTTACCAAAACAAATGAATGCTAAGCTAGTGAATGAATAGAATGATTAAACAAAATATTTAGATTTAGTACGGGTGACTGGCTATGGTAGTACCATTTTTTTGATCAGCAATAATTTTGTTAATTTACCAGTTAGCTAGGAGAATAGTAAATTAAAAGGTAGTTTGAACAGTTGTCTACGAACGTTGTATACTGAAGTACTGCCCTTACATACGATGGATTTAGTCATAAAAGCAAATCATACAAGAAAAGATCGAGTGCCACAAACGTTCACATCCGAAAACGAACAAAAAAGCCCACTTTCGACTCTTTAGAAGCAAATTAGTTTACAGATCATGTTAATGTAGGGCGCTGACTCAATGCAATAATAGATACTTGTTTGAACAAATATGCTTTATCTTTCTTTCTTTGGATCCAATCACAAAATCAGTATAGTTTAGCTGTTATGACGACTGGCACAACCGTACCCAGTCTCCCCTACTTTTAACTTTGTATGAATTATTTTTTACTACTTGATAAAACTTTCGGCCAGAAACAAAAACTGATTTTTTAATAATTTTATTTTACTTATCACAATTAAAAATTCAATTAGTTTTCTTTAGACTAAATAAATCATTAGCAGTTTTATCAAATAAATTGTTATCAGTGTTATCAGTGGCAGTCAATCTTATAAGAATTGTTTCATTAAGTATATTATTTCCATTTAGACGTGATTTTCAAAGCATCAATCAGCATTTGGTAAACAAACTTGCACTTAAATTACAAACTTGTACATTAAATTTAGGAAATTATTTATTTAGGAAAAAATAAGAACACTTACTAAGAATAATTTGTGACACCATTTTTAAAAAGAAAAATACTATAAAATAATATAAAGAAATAGTTATTTTGGAATTTGTAAACTTTATTTGAAAAGAATTCAAGGAAATATGCCAACACAATTAGAATATTTAGAATATTTAGAACAATTAGAATATTATATTTTAACTTCCCTTATGGTAACTTATAATAATCGCAATAAAATCGAAGATGAAATGTTTTGCCTAACTTTGCGTTTCAAAGGTTTTTGATCATTTTAGGATATCTTAGAAAAAATTGGTGTATGTGTGCATGTTTGGATTCAAAATTTGTCTACTATTTCGAGAGCACGGATCAAGCAAGTCCCGATAAAATTTTGGCAAAGGCAAAGGTCCAGCTTTTTCAGAAATCCGATTAGAATAATTTAAAAAACATTTCACTTGTATCGATGAAATGAAGAATTGATTATATTTTTGGCAAGACAAGTTCAGCGGTTTCGAAAATCTAGAAAAAAAAATTTGAATGTCATTTGGCGCGCAAAAATGATCATTTAACATATGCATATCAAATTATCAGATATTTTATAGAGATTTTAATAATAAGTACATATTTTATATCCATTTCTTTGGGTTTCCTACCAAGATTTAAAATTTACTTCTCTAGTTCCAACCGTTCACTTCTACAGTTCCACAGTATGGATCAACCGAGTTAATAGGTTTCAAAATTTTCAAGAAATTTTAGAATTTGCAAAAAAGTTAAAATATCAATACTATTAATAATATAATAATAATAATAAATATGTTTAGAAAAATTCAAAACATTTCAAATTTTCAAAAAAATCTAATTTTGTCAAAGTTTTCAAATAATTTTAAATTTTAAAATTAATAAATAAGTAAATTAATAAAATGGTAATTTAAAATATAAGCTTAAGCTTTATGTTTTAAAGCTTTTAAAATTTTTAAATTACCGTACGGGAAGTACGGAAGTAAGGACTGTTGATAAAACCTTGATCTTTTTGAGATTTTGAATATGCATCGCCGAGTTCGAAAATTAACTAAATCAAAAATTTGTGCCTAAAACTATATACATTTTACGCATTTATCTAGCTAGGTTCAAAATGGTGAAACATACCTAAAGTTGCCACAAATTTTCGTTACATTTCTTAGCCATCTGGTCTGCCACATTTTCACTACACAATGTACTAATACAAAATCTAATAGTTTTCGGTACACTTTTGCTGCTTTTTCCTATTTCTATTGGGTAAGATTTGAAACTTCGGACAGCATTTTTTCGGTTTTCTTTTATACACCGTGATAGTGATGATATTTGATTTATATAAATTGATTCAAAATCTGTGAATGAATTCATCAGTTTTAGAACAATAAACTATTCAATTGAAGAATTGAATAATCTCTCCTCTAGTCGTTTTCCAAATAGGAAAACCTATTTATTATATATTCACTATTGACTTTACACACCATCCAAAACTGTATTCTAAATTTGTCTGGTTCGTTTGGTATATTTTGTATAAATCTGCACCTACATTTCGATGGAAACAACTCACCATATAACATTATTTTCCAGCGGTCAAATGGACCGACTGCGGTAGTTAGGCCACATAACAATTTTTAACTTCCCGTAGGGCAAGTCATAGTAATCGCAAAAAAATCGAAATTGAAAATTTTTATATATCTTTACGTTTCAAAGGTTTCTAAATATTTTGGCATATCTTAGAAAAAATGGATGTATGTGTCTGTGTGTGCGTATACAAATTTGCGTCGACGATTTCGAAAACATGGATCAACCGATTTGAACAATTCAAAAAAACATTCGATTCATATTTAAAAGGAGACGTGTTGATTAGTTTTGGCAAAGGCAGGTCTAGTCGTTGGTGAAAATGTCGAGAACATTTGTTTGAACCATATAAATGAACATCAAAATTACTAACATTCGAAAACATTCAATTCGTATTGATAAGGAGACGTACTGATTAGTTTTTGGCGGAGGCAGGTCTAGCCGTTTCGAAGATGGGCCGGCCGTGGTCCCGTGGTAAGAACGTGGGCTAGCAAATCCTAGTCCCGGATTCGAATCCAACTGCGGTTCGGTATCAAACCAACGATACCAAATTTTTACTTGAAATCATAGATTTCAAATATGATCTCAAGTGAAAATGGCCTTTCGTGGGCATTGCTGCAGCACGTATATGCAGAGGGGGCAATAGTTGTAGTACCAACATGCCTCTTACAAGTAAGAGGTACTCGGATTGTATCCCTGTACTCAAAAAGGAATAACAAGTTTTAAAAAAAAAGATACGTGGCAAAAACGGTAACTCAGTTTTCGGCCGTCAGAAAACAGTTTACTTGTATTGACAAGATGAAGAACTGATTAAATTTTTGGGAAGGCAGGTCCAGCGGTTATGTACTCTCAATAAAAATAAGTTAAAAAAATGTTATTTGGCAGTCAAAAATGTTTATTGGACTCATGTACATCAAGTTATAAGATATTTTATAGAGATTTTCATAATGTGTACACATTTTGTGTAATTTTTTTGGATTCCGTCCAAGATTTTTAATTACGGTACGGGACGTTCCAGCAATTTGCCTTAAGGCACGATGCCATGCACCCATAAGTGCACTAGATTTTGGAAAATTGAAAAAATAATTAAAATCAAAGAGTGAAGAAAATATTATTAATATGTTCTAAGAAATGTCATATAGTTTGATAATGGTACTTTAACGTTTGAAAACATCTAAGTTATACACAAAGTTTGAAACGGTCATTTCGACCGGCATTGGTATGTTTAGTATTAAGTCACGATGCCATGCACCACTAGTTATCCATTTCAGTTATTACATATTAAAAACGTTTACTAGCCGTCACACTATTTTGCATGTATGACAAAGGCAACACGTAACCGTAATACAACAGCAAGTCCGATTGCAGCACACCGGACAGTCCGCGGCAGTCGCGCCGTCGCCGTACGACTCGTTGTGTCGTCCTTCACAAATTTATTTTGTTTTGATTTGTTGATATTTTTCGATGGAAGTCGCTTTTCTTTATTTAACAATGAATTGTTTAAAGGATTACTATCGACATGTGCAGCTGTAACAATAAGAAGGAAACAAAGAAACTGAAACGCAGGGTTACGTGGGGTACGTTAGATTATAACGCATCTTGTGAAATTTATTTTAGATATTTTTCACCCAATATACATATATATATATATATATATATACGTATGCATATTAGGGTGGTTCTTAATATGGATATTTTCAAATTCCTTTTCCCCCAGGGGCTCAAATGCTTCCAAATTGATAAAAAAAAACTCTGAAAGTTTCAGCACTCAAAATTAACTTTAAGATAGTCCGCACTTCAACTAAAGTTTCTTGGTTCTTCTCCCTAAGTAAATACTTATTTCATAAAATATATCAATTTTTTTTGTAATTTCATTATTTATTATCAAAATAAGCAAATACAATGTTATACTCAAAATTCACTTGTCGCTAAGTTATAAATTTCAACAAAACAAATGGAGTTACCCATGTTATTTCCATAAGAAACTTTGGTTGGAGTGCGGACTGTCTTAAAGTTAATATTAAGAGCTAAAACTTTCAGAGATTTTTTTTGTATCATTTTGGAAGCATTTGAACTCCTGGGAGCAAATAAATTCAAAATATAGGACCACTCTAATGCATATATAACGCATATTTTATAGAAAGCTTGTCCCATTTTCTTGGGCGTTTGTTGAATTAATTATTATTATTATTTCTTCATTAATACAATAACCAGAAGAATAACTACATTTTATAAGTTATTTTGATTAATACATAAATTATTGTCATCAGTTTTCAAACGCCATGATATATAGCATTTTCTTCGCCAGGTATTTAA